TTTTTTTTGTTTCAGATATAAACAAAAAATTTGGATGGTGGAGTCTGTTCACCTCCTTGATTTGGGAAACTGTGGAGGGCCCACCCAGCCCTCTACAGTTCCACATTATCAGCTTCATTTGGAAACATGGGCCCATTTAAGGCTGGCCACCTCTACCTCATTTGTCTCTTTTTCTGTCTTTTAGAGCTCTCAAGCTTGTTGTCATTAGGTTCCTGGTGATTCCCCTCCTCCTCTGCACCTTCAAGGGATCTTTCTTTGTTTGATGCAATTTGACTGTCCTGAGATTTTTTGCTGCCTGAGGATTTTCCCCTTGTTTACCAACCTTCTTTTTCCATCCTTCTTGGTTTAAATTTAACAGTCCTGCTCTCAGATTATGCCATTCAATCTCCCTGGCCACTTGTTGGTCTTCTTTCTTCAGGTCTTTAGTCTTCATATCTTCTATGACCAAAGCCCCTTGCAGCTGGACCTACCCCTTAGGAAGAATACCCTCCATAGGATCAAACTGGGGCCTAAAGGTAGAGATTAGCCCTCCAATCTTTGGTTCTTGGATGCTTCTCACCACTACAATTGTACTAGAGTTTGGTTCTCCCCCTGTATTTTCCTCAACTCCCCGGTGGTTGGAAGCTTTACTACCTGATGGCTCAAACTCCACAGATTTTTCAGAAGGAACCTTGCTCGCCTGTTGATGTTGCATACTAGATTCATTAGACTGGCTAGTAGGAAACCTACCAGAAATGGATTTAGAGCCCAGGTTCCCCTCCAAAGCCTTTATCCACTCTCCAGGTCGGGTACCGCCACTTATTTATGAAAGGAATTTTGAAAAATTTAAGTTGATTGTTTCACTTTTGTCAAAATAAAGTGGGGCATTAACAAACGCCCTCGTCTGGGCCTCTGCTATCATGTCTAATGGGTCGTACATCCTCAACCTTGACTGCGACCACTACATTTACAGCCCGCAAGCTATAAGCCAGCCTATTCCAAGTAAAAGTTACTATTTTAGATTATTCCATCAATCTCTTTCAATATATAGACGATTAATTAGATGCATGTTCAAGTGGGTGGCCACCCAAGTGATGTTTTCACCACACATTCTATATACACATGATATTCTACATACACCATTCAGGTGTATATAAATATGGAGGGGTGAAAACATTTTGTGGTGTTCTCATCATAAATTTCACATTTACTAAATTTAATACAAAACTGTTGTTAAATTTACTGTTTGGTCTTTACAATCAGGAATCCACATATAATATCAACATTAATTATACCAATACAAAAGAAATGAAGACGTATAGTACATATAATTCTACCAAACAGAAACATAGCAAAACCCATACAAAAAAAAAGAGCATTGCACTATGAAAATAAAACCAATTATAACAACAATAATTATAACGAATAGAGCAAATAAAATTACCCCGTTCTTTTGCAACCGATTATCGTCATCTTGACTTGATCACGTCGTTCTCAATTTTGTCTTCATATCGCTTACCATAATCACGTGACCGCTTACGGTTTTTTGGGTCAAGATTCTTTTGATCAAATGAATAACTAACATCAATTAGAAAGCTTGCCTCAGTACCAATTGATTTGTCTTCATCGTTTTCATCAACGATGAACTAGATATCTGACTTTTGTCGATAATTTAGAGATTCAACCATCTTGCCTTTACCTTTTTTTTTTTTTTTTTGCAATTTCCCCTTTCTTATTTTTGAATCTACATGTTCTTTGATTTTCGGTTCGGACAGAAAATCGACATCACCCTCAGATTCTGCTTTGGATAATTGTTTGGCGCCTCCAATGTCTGCTTGTAGAAACATTTTTCAAAAGTAAAGCTTCATTTGAACGACCTTACTCTTTGCTGCTTGATTTTCGGTAGTTAAGTGAGTTCTTGACCAAGGTAATCTAGATTCCTCTTCACAATTGTTTGGATTGTCATCTGGTGACCTTCTTTTTTGCCATTGACGAAATGAGTTGTGTTAATTTTTTGTATGGTAAGTAAAAGATTAGAACGATTCTCAATTTTATTGGTCTAATACCATTACATGCAACTGAAGGAATTAAATGTGTGGCAAATTTATTTTGGTTTGGCTTACATTACTTTAAATAATATGAGATTTCTATCTATAAAAATAAGATGAGTTTATCATCTTCTTAAAAAAAAAAAAAAAGATTAAAACAAGTAGAAGTAAGTTTCTCAATTACGATGATGATTATATTTAGAGGAATTTGCACCCCTTACCATCATGTATGATTTATATTACACTTATATATCTCTTATATTCTTATTTATAAAATTACCTAAACAAGAAAAAAATGCAAATGAGATCCTTAATTTAAATTAAACTAGTAATCACCCGTGCGATGCACGGGAAAATTATAATCTATGTGCTTTTTAGAAGATAATTTTGTATATAAATTGGGTAATAATGCAATTATCATAAGATTAGACATAAAAACATATAATTAAACTGAAAAATCATATATTATTCAACACTTCTCTATATACAACATTATTGGTTTGATTCTTTGGCAGATCATCTTACCCACAAATAAACATTTTCAAACCTTTTCGATTAGTGACACGGGAGACAACAATATATAACTGGTCATGACTGAACACTGTTTTCTTAAGAAATAAGCCAACATGAGATAATGATTGTCCATGTCTCTTGTTCATAGTTAGCAACATATAACTGGTCATGATTGAACACTTGTTTCTTAACAAATAAGCCAACATGAGATAAGGATTGTCCTTGTCTCTTTTTTATAGTCGTGACGTAAGAAACCATATGGAGAATTGTCATATTTGTTTACATGTGTATTTAACTGTCATATCCGTCGACAAAGATGACCACGAAATCTATATGTGTGTCTTGGCGCTAGAGGAAGGGCCTCATAAGTTTTTTGAGGTTAATCTTCGCTTTTGAAGTTGTAATCTGCTCAGACACTACAAAGGAATGTTACTTATTATCATCACAATGTCACAATCTGGGCAAGAACGGACTTCGCATGCTGCACTCAGTCATAATACTAATCAGTTTGCTGGACGTACTACACGAGCATCTACTGTACCGGATTATTTCAAAATCCAGATTTTATCAAAGGTTTTACATCCCTCATGGCACGTGCATTCCCTAGTGCGTCGGCTTCTCCTCATGCTCAGTCTACGTTTCCAATAACGGTTGTACCTCAACCGAATGTTCATGCACAAAATTCGCTTACGCGCGCGACGACATCACACGCTACCTCTCAACCACGCCACGAATCTCCTCACCAGGAAGAAATACCCCGACTATTAAATAATCATCCACCCGATGTTCCAAATCCCGTAGCGGTGAGAAATCAAGAAGGGACGGCCGAAAGTCATTCTGGTCAACCTCACAGAGCTCTTGTACCTTCAAGGCCGGAACCGTTATGACCTGCGGATCAAGAGAATTTGTGTCAACAAATTGAAAGCAATCGTGTCTTTCGACAGAGTTCGGAAGAACTTGAAGCTTTACGTAGAAGGCTCACAGAATTGGAGGCGAGACATAAATCTCAAGAGGAGTCGCCTCGACATCATTCCATATCGGGTAACGTGGTCATAGAGGCTGATTCCCCTTTAGATCCTGAACTTACAGTAGAAGTCCTTCCCTCCAAAATCAAAATCCCTCAAATCGATCTCTACGATGGAACTTCAGACCTAGATGCTCACTTAGGTCATTATACATCGTGGATGGACTTGCATGGCGCATCAGATGCTTTACGTTATCGCATGTTTTCGCTTACGCTGGGCCCGCGTGCACAAAAATGGTATTATACGTTACCTTCTCATTTGATTTGGAAGTGGCAACAACTGCGGACTGCCTTTCGGTCCCATTTCATCAGCGCTCAAATTTGCCTAATTCTAAATGAATAGATCACTAATATAGTCCAAAAAGATGATGAGAGTGTGAAGGACTATGTATCTCGGTTTAATGAACGAATTCAGAACATGGAGCCTTGGCATCCTGAAACATTACTGGTGACTGCCATCGCCTGTTTAAAACCGAATTCGGTATTCCGGTGGACTCTATGTCAGAATAAACTGAGTACTTTTCAAGAATTCCTTGTACGGGCCCAGCAATTTGTTATCGCCGAGGAATCTATGTTGGTACCTAACTTTGACTTCTCTGCCAAGGAAGTTAAACCAGAACCTGAGAAGAAGAAGAATAAAAAGAATTTTGTGGAAAATTCTGGAAAATCTCAATTTCGAGGTTATCCCAGAGGGAATTTCAATACTCCCGAATCAAGGGCTGATCGAGATCAATACACTGAGAGTGTGAGAACGGGGTATCAAACCCTCTATTCAACTGGAGCAGCCACCATCTTTGAAGAATTAAAAGGTAAAGGTATAATCCCTGATCCAAAGCCTGTTCGGACTCCTGAAGATAAGCTTTACAAGTCAAGGTATTGTGCCTATCATAAGTCGCGAAGACACAACATGGATGAATGTCTCGGTCTGCTGTCGGCTCTT